GGGTGCACCACGTGGAGGTAAGTCTATCGCACACCCCGTTTTCCCCAATATTGAAGTAAGTTGTTGTCAATTTGAACTAATATTTTCCTTCTTCCCATTTTGAACACGTTTGAACTCTTCCCTATTCGAAGACATTCTTGCTATCACCGTTAATCAGGCATATTGTATTCTTTGAAAATGGAAAAAAAAATTATGCAATGTCAGAGAAGTGGTTCCTTGATTTGAATTAATGAGAAGTAATTCCTTCCATGAAGAGGAAAGAGGATGTGTCTACACACATCTAATTATTACATTCGCTTTGTTATACGAAAGATGCTCTGGAACATTCGAGAGCTTCATAATCAGTTTTAAACGGGGCTTTGGACCCCGTTCATTGATGTGTACTTGAGATGCTATTTTCTGGATGATTTTAACGCCAAAGAGATACAGCTCAATATTCATACAATTTTTATTATAAAAAAATTAACTTTATGATATACTATAAATAACGTAATAACATTTTAGTATGCAGCATGTTGAATGAATTACCAAATTTTGCCTAATCGGTATGGAAAGATAGTCTATTTTGGTTTAATTATTGAAAGTCATATTTCATTCACGAAAAATCTAATTCATTCCATTAATTTCACATAAGCTCTTTTAATTTAACCCTGTGCAGCCAACATGCATGCCACAATGTATTTATTATATTTATTTATTTCAAATGGCAGGCATTTTGATAGCTATCATTAGCCACATGCCACAATGTCAAAGGTTAAAATTCTTATCATTCGTTACTTGCTAGTAAATATCATTGGCTGGAATGGCCAATTGTGCAAATTTCAACTTTTCGATTAAATAAACATTTCGAATGCTATAGTCACCAGAGCAGTGGTTCACTAGGAGAGAAGATGAGTAGTGAAAAAAGCCACTTTGCAAAGTTAGTGTATTTTAACCGAATTTTTACTCCAATTTTTTTAGCTGTTGTCGGACTTATTTTAAGGGAAAAACTGCTTCTTTAATGAAGAACTAATAGGGTAAAGTTTAAAATATTTTTTTCAAAATAAATCGATTCTTGAGAGGTAGGAGGGGCAGATATAATAACCTTGTGCAAAGTGCCAACACGATGTAAAAATAAATTAAAATAGACGACTTCTTGCATTTCCTTAAAAATAAAAGTCTGGTTTCAGTTAAATATAACTTCTAATGCTGGGCCTGAATATGCCCCTCGTGTCGTGGGCGAACCCAACGCGAATTCTTGCATCTTAGCTATAATTGGCTAACTGCCCATACCAGCTAGCCAATGAGAGCGTGAGAGGGGCTTTACGCCTACTTCATTTAAGGTCACACATAGGTGAGCCACCAATTGCGCTGAAGGCTTGCCAAGTACGGTAGGCCAATGGATTTCAGTCCAACGATCTTCTATCGAGGAATTTAGTTGGCTTGTCCGCTCCTTTAGTAAGTCTTATTTTACTAATTTAATTTCTTTATTTAATATTCAATAAAATTAATCCTTATTTATTTCAATTTAATGGGTTCCTTTTATTAAATGCAGACAAAGTGTATTTTCTGATATTTATTTTACAAATTAGCATGCGCCTCTTAATGGTACCACACAATTTTTCAAATGTTTTTTTGGACACTTACAACTATTTTATAAATTTGTTTAATTGTCAATTTATTTATGTGGACAATTTTTTAATATGCCGTAATCAAAGTAATTGCTTTCACTAAATAATACAATTTTCGAATGTGAAATTTGCAGTGAGATTTCAATGATAATATTAACGCATTCTTGAAAATTAGCTTAATATTCGTTACTGTTTTATAACCCCGTGGCTTACTGAGAATAAACCCGTTAAATAAAATCTTATGTCAATAAAATCGACAGCAATCATTCGACAAACTTTTATTGGATGTGGGTTTAATGTATATTTAATTTGTGACTAATTAGAGTACGGCAAGTAATAAACCTGATTTACTTTCCTAATGAGCAATATGTAAGTTGAAAAGATTCGTTGTGAAGGATGTATAGGTAAACATGTTGATAAACTTTAAAAATTGTCTACTCGTCCTAAATTAGAAATAAATAATTTATTTATATCAAATGGCAGGCATTTTGATAGTTTCATTAGCCCTTTAGGTGACTTCAGGCCTCACAGAGGTGAAGAAATATCAAAGTGAAAAAAATTCGAAGAGTGCTTCAAAGATGTAAAAGAGACAGACACATAGGTAGAAAAAAGGTGAGGTGAGTACTGTGCAAGTGGTCGAATATGACAAACAGGGAGGGTGATGGTAGTTAGAAGCTAGAAGTCAACTGCCGAATAATAGACTTTCCTTGCCGTATGAGTAAGTCTATCGCACAACTCAAATTAGAAAAATAATTTCGAAAGAGTGGTGGATCCTTCGAGTAAAAAGCGAACATATGCCAACGTAACGTCTTGTGTAAAATTGTCGATTCGTTTCGATAATGCAACGCGTCTGTTCATGCACGTGAATTTATTTAACCAAAAATATTCTTAGTTTTGCTTAGAAATAATTATATGAACGGTTTAAATAGAGCCCACTATGTTTACTAACCAATTTGGCTTTTGTTCTCTACCCTACAAATTGATCTTCATCTGAAACAACTAATTAGCTATTTTCAGCTACAAGAAGACAATTTTGCAAAGTCCTGTTCTTTACAATGTGTTTTAGCATTTAGGAATACGTCAGGAATTGAATTAAAATGCTTTTCCGATTTTAAGTGCATAAACACTCGTTCTATTTAATCGCGGAATTCTGTTTTATTTCTTTGCGTAATCAACCCTACTCAATTAAAATTAAATAACGGATTCCTTCATTTTCAAGCATAATTGGCTGTCGATTTGGAGAAAACAAAAAAATTTTTGAGGGTGGGTATTCTATTGTCGTCACGTCGTTTGCATAATTTATGCCCTACACTAAAAATACCACCTCGATTTGCCCACGAGCCGTAAACTCTGGAGCGAAATCGTTGGCCTTGTTATTACCAGCCTCTAAGAACCGGAGCCATAGTTGGTGTGTGTGTGAGAGATGCTTCTTTCCACAACTTTATCTGTAATTTTTCAATCAAAGTCTGAGATAAACAGACGGATATTCTTTAAAATCTATTGTGTAGGTTGCAGACCACTGTGCTAAAACATTTGCCCACATAACTCTGCGGAAGTTCCTGAATTTCTTTCTTCCATCAACTATTTTATCTACTTATTTTTCTTTCAAAGAACTGAAAAAAAACCTTGTGATTCACTTGTGGTAGATCAGAAATACATTGTTTTGAAGGGCTTTCCTCAACTAATTGAAGGCAGAAGAAAAGAAACCCTGGAACACTTATGTTAGAAGCGTACTTTAGTCTTTGTCCAATCCCCTAATGTTACTTCCCGTTGGATGTCAGTCTCCCGATAAATTCCACCTAGGTATAGAGTGTCAGAGAGAGACTCCATTTCACCTCTGCTCTACTCAGAGGATTGGAACGCAAGATAATGCTTTCCCTTGAATAGGCTACAAATACAGTGGTGAGTATTTTTAGCTCATTAAAACCTTACTAAGGTAGAGAACTTCCTGCCCCAATGTTCACTGAGCGAAACACTCTATTGGTGGAAAAATTGACATTTTTCTTTGCTCTCTTGCCTTTCTGTCCAATTGTAAGAAGAAGTTTTCATTTCAAAGCCCAGTTTTGAACACCAAAGTGTTAATGTTTTACTTGAAATATTTATACACCTGAGATCGTGAAATAAAGTGACCTTTTTAAAATAAGAACGTGAAAAATGCACACTCCTAGCATTCCCCTATTTTTCGCCAGCATTCGCCAACATTATTATTTATTCGCTTCAATTGGCCAAAAAAATTCAGCCTTAGTAATTTATCTTGTAAATAAAATTGTTCGATAAATTTCGTTTGTTTAAATCAAATTATCCACTCACTGAGGTCCAAGTTTTGAAGAAGCACTGTTTTCTATTGAAATGCAACAGTTTTTGCGTTGCTCGAAAGATGGAATTGGTGCTTAGTAATTGCATGATGTTCTATTCCATTATTTAATTATTTTATTAGTAACTCTAACAACAAATATTGGTTTAAGACATCAATTTCAAAGCATAAAATATCTGTTGTATTCTTCACAAAATAATTTGAAGTTATTGCGGTCCTCAAAAGTATGTTACTATTAATAAATATTTTGTTTAAGATATATGTATTTTCTTATTTATTTTCACTTAGACTTAAACTTTTCTAATCTCTACTCTTTGAGATACTGGCGCTATTTTAAAGTATGGAGCCAATCAAATTTAGAAACCGCCCAAAGAAAATCGGTCACAAGACCGAATAGTTGTTTTCTTTTAAAACTACCTCAAAATGAAAAGGAATCATTAAAATTCATAAACAGAACTTTTCTAGTATATTTGCTCAAAATAGCAACCAAATATGCGAAACCCTGTTAACTAGAACTCAGCGGCCTATTTGGACAAAGAGAAATTGAATGCGTATTGTGACTTTGTTGAATAGATCTGTGGGTGTGTACAGTGCCTTTATTATCGTTTTGTTTTGCTTGAAAAGCGCAGTTGAACAGCACTGCATGAACGCAGTTGAAAAAACAGACAATAGAGAGCTGGCGGAGATATCGATCGTTCTTCCGCCCTTTTCCCCTCCCCCTCCTCCTCCTCCTCCTCAACCACAGCAGCAGCAGCAGCCGCTTACGGCCACTGTTGTTGAAAGCCCCGCTGCGGCTGTCGCCAACACCACCTCTCCTGCTCCAGTTCAAACTTCCATCACTGGAAATCTGATCTCAATTCCAATGCATCTGGCCACCTCTCGAATGGTTTGTCTTCGCGCTCCTGCTCAGTAAGACTTCGCTTTATATATTTAGGCATTTTGACTTGATGCAAGTGGTATTTGATAGAACTCTTGAGCGTTGAAGCAGTAAATTAATGTGTGTTAGAATTGAATCGATTGATTAGGGAGAGGATTTGAATTATTTCAAAATATTGCCTTATCTTTGAAATGTACTTCGCATGAAACTGTATTCCACGCCTGGACTCTGGCTCTCTCCATATTCTCAAAAGGGGGGAACATTTTGCACATCGTCATATTTACCACATTCAGAGTTTGCTTATCGATTCGTGAAATATTGTGGTTGACCTTACCACCTCAATTTGTACTTTACCTTAAAACAGAGTAGAGAGTGAAGATTCATTTAGTATGTCACAGATCACTGATAATTTCAATTTCACTAAGGTACTAGTGGTCTTTGCTACTAACATCCACAAATTAGATGAGCATTGCTTTCTTTGAAATATTTGAAATATATTTTCGAATAAGTGAACAACGAAAAATTGAGAATCAGAAAATATTTGAGAAGACTTTACTAATGAGAGGGTAATCAAATTCCTCAAATTGTTTCCCTGGGATGGTGCATCTTTATTGGCTTGATCTTGAATACTCATATTCATATTAATTTTCTTTGAATTAATCATTACTATTAGATTATACAGTATTGGATGCGAGTTTTAAAATGTCGAAATAATCCCCCCCCCAAAAAATATTGAAACTGACAATTGGGAGTTGATATGACAAGTCTTCATTCAGAAGTGTTACAATATCTTATAGAGTACTCGTTTGTTTTGTTAATATCTAATCTTGCCAGGTATACGTGTTTCTTTGATACTCATTGTAGTTAATTAAGTCAAAAAGCTTTGAGATCATAAATGGGGAAATGATATTTAGACACAAAGTTATGAGTTTCTTTAAGTCTCCGCTTCAATCTTCGTAAAGTAACGACGTTCAAATGTAAAGGGAAACAGCTTGAGGCAAACATGTTATGAGGATATGTTTCAAACTTATCTACGCCATTGGTCAAATTTTAAATGTCTACGTGGTTCATAAATGTGTATTTTTACCAGAATAAACAGTTTGAAATAATTTGATAATAATCCTCATTGTATTTTTTTCTATTTCATTAATCGATTACTTATCTTTGTTCATTTTATTCTTTGAAAATTAAAATATCCAGTGTTTCTCCAGTTGTGACTTTTCAAGTTTGATCCTACTAGACAATAGAGAATTATTATTAGTATCAACCATTTGTTTGGCAGTATCAAAAATAGCGAACAGATGCTTTAAATCCTTTTTACCAATCATGGAGAAACAAAACCACTATTCCACCAATATGAGTTTTTTAAACTGTTTTCCATTTCATACTCTCTCAACTACTAGTGAATTTTAAAGATAGGATGCATTTTATCATTGTTAGAGGCGGCATCATAGTTGAATTCGTGGATTTAACTTCTGAAATTTCCCCCCTTCGAAATGACATATGCTGGTATTGCTGCTTCAAAATGTTCTTCGAAAAAATCACATTGAACTAAATGCCAACATTGATGATAACATTCCGATATGTGACATTTAAATTACTCTTGTCTAAAAGCGTTTCCCAATGCTGGTGTTTGAGAAGCTGTGATACACTCGATAAAACAACGATTTCCTTTGTGTCCTTTTAACTGGATTTTGGACAATTCCTCCTTGCTTTCTGCTATCTCAAAAGAAGATTTAAGGAATGAGAACTGTGGGGGAGAAATTATAGGAGTCGAAACACATCGTCTTCCTCTTTGTAGCTTCGCTGTTGAATATTCCAGGAAAACCCACTTAGCTAATGCGTCACATGTCATGATTGAGCATATTCCTGAGATACCCACAAAAGATATTAGATGTAAGCGTGTTAGGACATAGCACTTTTTTAATGACTCTGGGAAATATTTCTGCTTAGTGTCATCAGCAAAAAGATAATTTAAGCTTTGACTAGTGTTTGAGGAATAGTGTTTGAGGAATATATGCAGTTTTCTTATTGGCCAATAAGATTCGAACCACATTTTTTTCAGCCTTGTAAGAGGTTTAGGCGCACTATAGTATGTCTAAGCGAATTATGAAGCCGAGTTCTATCCAGTCAGAAAGCTGAATTTCACGATCAGATAGTCAAGATTTCGGAACACTTGGGTGTTTAAAAATCGCTAGTTCAGATTCAAAGATAGCGATTAAAAAAATTAAAGAAGTACGCTCTCAGATTAATAAAAATGTTTGACAGCCAATGTCCCCATGATAGGCTTCTGGGGCCTATAAGAAGCCACAGTTAAATGGTATTGCACGATTTGAAGTTCGAGAATATTCTCTCCTTGTTCCGATTTGATTAAATGAAATAATTAATATCAATGCATTTTACAACCGCAAGTTTCCTCTTAAGCACTCTGAAGCATTCCTTTCATCTGGGTATTTGGCCAATATAACTTTAAAATAAGTTTTCATTTGTTTAAATTTTAATTAAATTGCTACCTCCTTTTGTTCAAAGTTAGTATACATGCTTCATGCATGTCATAATTTAAGGCAACTGACTAGTTGCCTTACTTTCTGAACTTTATAGCTTCCTCTCTGCATTCCGAGTGTCATTAGCATTTTATTTACATTTTTTATTGCGAATAAGTTGACGCGAGTTTAGTAGACGTCTGCGACCTTTTTGACTAAGTGTAAAACATCATTAAATCTCGTGTTTCCGCGCCGCTTTTCCCTGACTTGTAAGGCATTCTTACTGGTGTTTGTTCAAAAGCTTCATCCTCCTTCGCCAAAATTATCCTGACTTCTTCATCCCAAGCCAAAAAATGGTGTGAAGAAGGACTTTTTGGCCGTCAGTACTCCTTTTCTCTTCTTTAAATTCTCGAGTGAAGTTATTTTGTCAAAAGGAAGTAATCATCTGCGAAAACGATAGCACTTTCAAGTAAACAAAGAACAATTTAATGAATGAGATTGAAGGGTTTAAAGCCTAATTTTATCATAGATAAACTTGCACATATCTACCATAAATTTTTTATTTAATGATCTTTTCTGAAGCTCAAATTAAGGGGGACAATTGCACATTCTGTGGTTATATCTTTCCAATTTCTCAATATACGAAAGATAACAAATTCATAGGATGGGGGCATATGGATAGATGTGTCTGCATAGAACTGGCATACAAGTCTCCCCGTAGGAGGCTGGCCTGTCACGTAAAGACAAATTTAGCAATGGAACCCCTTTTTATTAAAGCGTTTTCTAATACTCATCCAGTGAGTAGTCCAAAATTAAAAAGAAAACCTAATTTTACTTTCCCTTTATTGGTCAGATTTAATCATCGCGATCGGCAATTCTATTCGTTAGGCGTGCATCCATGGACTTTTGACTTCCTAAATGATTTCATTCTTTTGTTGGAATTGCAGAGATTGTCTGTCGTTAGCTCAGACAATTTATCCCATAACATCGTCTCCAGAGCCAGCGGCAGCAAGCACTGGACATCCTATCTTCATTTCCACCTCCCCAAACCCGACAATCACTCCTACCAATGCGTCCTCGAATGGATCAGCGTTTGTGGCATCAGATGAGGATAAAATATCCCTCGATGGAAAACGCAAAAGGCCAGCTCCTAGTATAGCATCAACACGACAAAACAGTAAGTAATGACGGTTATGTTAATGTGCATATAGTTATCAACGTTTTATTTGCTTTTGAAATAAAATAAAGATTAATTATTGGTCGCTAATACTTTGATATTCATTTTCAAACAATTTTACTGTCAATGAGAGTTATTGCGTAGTTCTAGCCCACTTAAAACACTCTTCCAAGCTGATTTGAAATGATCTCTGTCTCCCCCTCCTCCCTCTCTCCTATAAATAAATCATAGTGTTTAATCTTAAATTACTCTGTTCCATTAACGATAGAATTGGTTGATCATTTTAATTTGATAATACTTATTGACAATGGTTAAATATCAGTTATTTTTTAGTCTCACCTTGTATTTAACTCATCCTTGTTCCAATAAATTCTGTTTTCACGATGAACTTATTGTCTGGAAGTCTTTGGATTTCAGTCTGTATCCCCTTGAATACTCAATGAAATTGCGGGGTAGGGGGAGTTAGTGAAAATAAAAAACTCATTAATCCTAAATTTCACAATTTTTTGCTTGATTAGTGCAGATCTTTATAACACTCTTGCCTGTTCCCTTACAATGTAGGAAAAATTCGGAAATTTCTTCATTTGAATATTAATAGGTAAATAGTGAAATGTGTGCGAAAATTAGGAAAGAAAAATTCAAATGTACAATTTTGCATGATTCCATTGTAGCCGTGAATTTACATTTTACTTCCATTTGCTCCCTATTTCTCGCATTCAGATACTTTTGCAAGATTAAAAATTGTACATTTTCCACCTTGTAGTGGATAGAATGTGAATTTATTCTAACAGTATGTTCCCATAAGACATCGATTTTTTTTCAATTCTCTTCTTTCGAAACCACCTATAATGAAGCCATATTGAGAATATTTTTTAGACTCTATTTGCATTGGTGCAATTTCCTCATAATTGTAATTAATTGTGTAAATTTTTAACTTTTTATTAATATTTAATTTCAAAAAGTTTATTTGAGAATCAAATATTTGCAAAATCTAATTTCTATGATAGGTAATTGATTTATCGAATTTGTGCAAACAATGCCAATGAAATTTGATGAATCCATTCAAAAATCCTGATAAGTTGAATAAAATTTAAAGCAGCGAATATTTTGGCACAACTTTACGTTGAAATAAAAAATTGTGCACCATGGTATAGAATTCTTTAGATTTAAAAAATGATGCATTGAACAACTTTCTCTCTACTAACTCAAAACCTTGAATTAAAGCTCTATTGTGGGTTTAGTAAAATATTTAATCATGAATGCTTCAAGAGGCGCAAATTCACAAATTATTTGAAATTATTTTCACCTAGTCAAACCTATGTTTGGCAATATAAGGGAGCGTTGTTGGCAATCTTTTCCTCAAACCAGGGGATGAATCGTTCGGTTTTATTTTAAGATTGTGAGTTGTTCGAATATTTGTAAAATCCAAATCCAGACATAAAAGGAGCTAAGATTCCTTGATATCTTTCAACTCCTCTTCCTTATAATTCAAAATTTTAAACTTTTCTCCTATCATTGTTGATGATAGCAGACGATGATGCTAAGAAGATGAATTAAAATCTACCAAACCTCTGTGCAGAGATCATTAAATTCTTAGAAAGGGATTCTTTTCCGGAGTACTAGATCTCCCATCGACACTACTTTTTTTAGCTCCCTATATTAGCAGGAAGCAAGTGAATTTTTTTATTCCAAATTAAATATAATCGACTATAGAATGTTCGTAAATTAACGAAGAGAAAGCTGCGTTTGAAATTTGGATTCTTCTTCTGGTTTTGGGTAGTTCCTGACACTTCTCATTGGATAGGCAAGACTTTATCGGTGACTATGGAGATTTATGGTAGTTTCAATGAAACATTATATTGCCAATTAATTGTGATAAAGTATAATCTTTAAATTAAAATGACTTCGAAACAAAATCGTGCTTATCAAAATCGAATTTGCACACTCTAGAAGCCTCCATTGCTAGAAATTTATATTATTTGTATAAAATGAAATGTAGCGCTTTCCCGTAATTGTTTCTTTTTTACCATCACTCTTCGGCTAAATAGATAAAAACAGGCATTAAACGAGTTTTATGGCTACTTCGAATTCGGTCTGGGAAATCGTTAACTGGGAGTACGGATTGGATCCCATGTCAAGGTAGTGTATTTACCAATGGGCCGTGTGGTAGGTGCTTCATAAAATCCACAATTTGGTTCAGCATATTATTTCTCGTCGAAGCTCATTTACTTTAATTACAGAGGGTGGGATTGGGGAAGGGGGGTGGGGTGGGGAGGGGGTAATGGTGGTTCAAAGGCGTTTTACTCGATCTAATTTTAAGGTTGGAGCTTAAGCGAATTAATTTTCTACGGCTATTTTAAGCTACACCAACTTATTGCGCTCATAATTTTTTGTCCACTTTCCACTAAAAAAGATCCGCTAAAGCACTTGTTGACTTGTTTGGTGTTGTTAAGCCAAAATGTGCTGTAGTGAGGGAGGCTTTTCGTTTATAATACTTTTACCACTGTTTCTTTCACCGTAGTAGATGTTTACATTGATGCGAGAGGTTTGCCTATTTATTCTTTTCAATTATACAAACTTTACTTTCGCAGGTTTGGAATAATACAGTGTCTATGGCGGAATATGGAATTAAAAATCCCCTTGCTGTTAGTAGAGTGAAATTGCCTGGCCAAATAGTTTAAAGCAGTAAAGTAGATTACGATTGAAAATCAATAAAACCTTTCGAAGAAATGTATTAGAGGAATGTAAAATAATCAATATGGTAATAGTTGGGGGGTGGGGGGTGGGGTGGTTGTAGTAATAATTGAATGAACTGGTAAAACAGTGGGCTAATTCCTGGAGGTTGTTCTCTTAAAACCAATAGCTGTGTCTCCCCTACTGAAAATGGGCAGATATTTGCACATTTTAAGCAACTTTTGGCACCCATCTGTCAATCCATCTTCAGTGTATATTTACGTTAAAGCTCCTATCAAATGTGTGTTTAGCGGTGATTCAGAAGCACTGACATGTAAATCCTTACGAAATTACCAGCTCTTCTCTATCGATGCACTATAAAGTTTTGAATCTATTTTCTTGGAAATATAAATTGTGATGGAACATTAAAGTGGCTTAAACCTTACATTATCCAATGACTGTCATAGACAAATAAAGACCATAATTTCTAACAAGAATTTGACAATATCAAGGAAGTCGATTATTCTGAAGTTGTCAAGTCTCAATGGAGTTTTATTATGTGGCCACTCTGTAAGAGTCCGAATTTAAAACAAAATGTCATATAAATGATCATTTCATTTATGAAATCTTATAAAAGAATTTGTAAATCCGTTAGACAATTACTTTTCAATAAGTATTTATTTAGATATGAACAAGACTTGTTTAAATGGAATGAATGATGCAATTTACATTAAACTTACTTTGGACACGTTTATAGAACCAAATGTTTATGATGCTGATTGTGGCTAGTGATTGACCTTAGAGGTCAGCTGTAACCTCAGAAAATGCCTAATTTGTACTTTTATCGGTTAAAACCTGTGGGATCCCGCTTAAGTAGTCGTTTCTTTACGACACTTTGCTGGGATTTTTATTTTTGAACTGTAAAAGAACACAAAATACATATTGGTCAGATTTAATTAATTACTTGGACAAAATTCATAAATTCCAATCCCTGTAAAAAGCTCTGCCAATCGAATTAGAGCGTGTGCTGTTTATCTATTTATGATTTTTAAAGCATTATTTTTGGTATAAAGCAGATATTTATATCTTTTCTTCCGAATGATTCATATTTTTTCACCATAGTCGGTGGGTAGGATCTTTTTCAGCTTCAGGTAAAACAAACGATGCATTTTTGTGGACACAAAGTGGAGTGGTTCAATTTCGTGTGGCTTAAATTAGGATACAAATTTATAATTCTCGTCTCCTTGAGCTTAGGCAAATTATGCAACCAAGCATTCAACTCAGATAAGGTATTTCCCCTTAGTAACTTGTCTTTTGCACCAAAAAAAACACGCGGGAAGACGAGGGTTAACTGCTTTCCCATAACCGCTAACCGAAAAGCCACTTTATTTGCCATTTTCACTTAGCCGTCATTGAGTTACAAACTCTCAAGTGCTGTTGTAACAGGCTAATGATATTTCATGGAGATTTCGCATTTCAGAGTAAACAGTTTTAGCTAAGCGCCTTTTCTTTAAATATCTCACAGGTCTGTTGTTATAATAAACTCTTCATTTTAAAAGTCAATGGGAAATTTCGACGTAAACTGTGAATCCTTTTGAAATTGTCTTGGGGTGAAAGGCGGGAACATTGAGCCTTTCGAATGAGAATGTTGATACCCTTTATTGAGTGTCGACATTTAACAGTGCAGTTGGTTGTTCCAGTCCACACACACACGGGCATCTAATCATGACTGAATCAATGTAAAAAGTTAACAACAATTTCAGGCAATTTAATGAAAGGAACACGATATTCGCCTGATGAAGACTGAGCCGATACGGTTATTCTTAGATGAGATTGTAGTTAACTTCAATAATAACGGTATTACCTATTCAGTAATGACATACAGATTTGAAGGGATAGCATTTAGCAAGTTATATTCTCGTGATGGTTACTTTGATCGCCTCTTATGCCACTTGGTTCTAGGAACCCTTTCAGTTTCTTGTCACTCAATGGTGGCTTCTTCCCTCTTTAAGGAGGTATGATTGTTTATACAAGACCTTCGGTTATGTACAATTGATTGGTCACTTGATTTCACTCTCAAATGCGTGCAAAGAATGAATTATAAATAATGAATTTTAGCCCATATTGTACGAATCCTCTCCAAAAACCATAAGTTTCTAACTCTTGAGTCGTCAACTTCTCCCATCCTTGCCATTCACTTGTTTTTTTCTCGATGGAAGGTTGTAAAATTCTCAAACACTGTTGTGGCTGTAATAATCTAATGAATTGGAAACAAATTCGTTTCGCAGTGTTTTTTTTCAATAAATTCCGTTCAGGACATTGAAATTCGAAATTC